TCTTTAACCACTTTATCTCGTCTTGAGCTCTATCTTTTACTTAACATAATCTTGCAGTTTTTTATTCATCCAAATCTTGCAAGATTTCTGGGAAATGCGTTCTCCCCTATGAGCCTATAAATTTGAGAATTTCCTCTTCATTTTACACACCCCAAAACAAGAGAAAATCTCTTCCTGCTTAGTGCAAAAACAAATCATCTTCTGCCTTTTTTGTGAATTTGTCTTTGTGATAAATAATAGCCTTTAAATTGGAGATACCTTTGTGGTGTGGATCGAGTATCTGAACCTAATAAAAAAGGGGAAATCGTTCTTCCATTTTCAGATTTTTTGTTTTGATTTTCTTGAAATAATTCTTTGCAAATCCTTCGTTAATTGATTCTTTTTGTTTATTTGTAGGTGGGTTTGCTTCATAACTGTTAATGTTGTAAATCTGACACACGGCCATATGATGGTCCTGACACTGTCTTAAGTTGGCAATGGTTCAGGTTTGGTCATTGACAACATTGGTTCACCCTTCTTAAACACAACTCATTCTTCCTTTAACGTTAACAAAATTTTACATTGTCCCAATGCTTCCACCAACCTTTTATCTATTAATAGATTTTGCCTTGATAATGATTGTTATTTTATGCTTAATGGAAGTGATTTTGTGTGAAGGAGAACAAGACCGGCAGTTGCTACTTCACTGACTGGTTGAGGTTGGTCTCTATCTAATCACTAGAAACAAAAGCTCTATCAATAAATTCTATTGTTTCACAACCAAATTAGGGGCAAAGATGAAGGAACAATGGCATAATCGTCTTGGACATCCTTCCACGTCCATCTCCAATTATATATTTCATTACTTGCAAAAAAAAAAGACACTAACAAGCAACCAAGCGTCTGTAGTTCCTGTCCAATGGGAAAAACTAAACACTTATCCTTTAGTGACTCCACTAGAAATCAACAAGACCATTAGGCCTTGATTTACACTGATGCTTGGTTATCTCCTGTAACCTCAGTTGGTGGCTGCTGCTTTTATGTTTTATTTGCTGATGATTTTAGTCGTTTTACATGGATGTATCCCATGCATTTTATATATGATGTGTTCCTTATTTTCCAAAAATACAAAGCTCTTGTTGAAAATTTATTTGCTTGCACTATTCAAAAATTATAATCTGATAATCGATATGAATATTTATTAAATGAGTTTCAAGAATTTTTGGCAAAACATTGGATTTTCTATCGTCTAACGCGTCCTCACACTTCTCCACAAAACGACATTGCCAAAAGAAAACATCGTCATATACAAGAAACGGGTTTAACACTTATGGCAAATGCCCATCTACCAAATTGTTACTGGGGAGAAGGCTTCTTAACATTAGTATATCTCATAGACCAATTGCCTATCAAAGTTCTCAACAATTTGTTTCCACATTTTGTTCTTTACAAAACTATGTCAACTTATTCAAATTTTAGAGTCTTTTGTTGTGAATGTTATCCTTTTCTTAGGCCATATGAAAATAATAAATTAGCATTTAGGAGTAAACAATGTGTGTTTATAGGATATCCAAGTCAACAAAAAGGTTACCGCTGTTTAGACTTGGACACAGATTGAGTCTTTGTCACGAGACATGTGGTATTTGATGATTAAATCCTCTCCCACTCCCACAAGTCTCCAGTTGTCAGGTATGACTTCCCTACCAATTTTCCTTCTTGCTTCTTCTAATGTGCAAAGGTCTAGTCATGATTCAATTCAAGAATGTTTACACACTGAACCAAACTCATCACATGCTGAAAGCCACCCAATGGTCCAATCACACGTCTCTCTGTCTATTCCTCATACAACGTTATTTCCCACACCACACGCCTTCCAAATTGATCCAATTGAAGAGTCTTCTAATTCTGAACATTTACCCCCTTTAGAGAAGCAATCATGACCACTCATCGAGAAATCATCACACGATCTAAAATAGAAAATTCGAAACCAAAAGATTTCCCTGGTTTTAAGACCTTTTATAGTCCTTGCCACTCTTTACTTGTCTTATCTAGTGTTGTTTATGAAACTAAACCATCTTGCTTCACGAAGGCAGTGACTAAACTAGAATGGAAAGCTACAAAGAGGTGTAAATTTGACGCACTAATGGCTAATGGAACATGGTCTCTTTGTCCAAAACCAGTGAATAAAAATAAATGGGTGTACCAGATAAAAAGAAATTCAGATTGTAGTATAGAACGCTACAAAACACAGCTTGTAGAAGAGGGATTTGATCAATGCCCAGGTACTGATTATTATGAATCATTTTCTCAGTGATGAAGCCAACCACTATACGATTAGTGTTGGCCTTGGCAGTTTCTTTTAATTGTATTTGTCAACTAAATGTTTCCATTGCTTTCCTCCATGGGATTTTAGATGAAGAGGTATATATGGAACAGCCAAGAGGATGTGGATGAAAATTTTCCATATCATGTTTGTTGCTACATAAGTCACTCTATGGTCTTAAACAAGATCCAAGAGCTTTGTTTAATCGACTTTCTCAGCAACTTGTTGATTTTGGATTTATAGAATCAAAGGTTGATTATTCATTATTTACATTATGCACTAATAACTTCAAAATCTTTGTCCTAGTGTATGTAAATCATATTATTTGTAACAAGATCTAATAGACAAGCAGTTCTTGACTTCATTGATCAGTTGGAATCTAAATTTCATATTAAAGACTTAGCGAACTAAGCTATTTTCTTATCAAGCAATCAGAAATGCAGACGACTCCATTTGAGACGAGCAAAGTACATCATTGATCTCTTAGAGAGCACCAAAATGACTAGTACAAAGACTTTGCATTCTCCAACTGTATTTAGTTTTAAATTATCCTCCGTTGATAGTGCATTACTTGCTGATCCATCTGAATATCAGAGAGTTGTAAAAGCCCTTCAATATTGCACCATCTCCCGACCAAATATAGCATAATCTGTAAATCAGCTTTGCCAATTTATGCACTCTCCTCGTGAACTTCGTTGATTGGTTGTAAAAAGAGTATTAATGTACTTAAAAGGTACAGTGGACTTTGGTCATCATTACACCCTTTCTGAAATCCAATTGTATGCATATTGTGATTTCGGATTGGGAAGGTAATTCTGAAGACAGAAGAAATACCAGTGAATATGGGGTACTTCTAGGTAAAAATCTGATTTCTTCGAGTGCAAAAAAACAAGGAATGTTCTCACAATCTAGTACCGAAGCTGAATATCGAATTATGACCCTAGCTGTAGTTGAACTGTATTGGATTAGAATAGTTCTACAAGAGCTGCAGATCACTTTGCCGACAGCACCCACTTTGTGGTGTAACATAGTGGAGCTATAGCATTGGCCTCTAATCCGATCTTCCATGCTTGCACAAAGCACATTGAAGTAGATTACCATTTTGTTTAAGAAAAGGTAGTCAATCGTGCTATCCTGGTAAAATATATCTTTATGCAATATCAAGTTGTTGATATCTTTACCAAGGGACACATATCCAATCGATTTCAATTCTTAAGACACAAATTGAAGGACAACATTTCTTCCCCACAGTTTGAGAGGGGGTCATGGTCAGCCTTGAGATTTTGAGAGCCTTAGATCAATTTCGAAAGTTTATTATCATATTTCTATGCTTGTACTTTCTTACAGATAGTTCGACATTTCCTGAAGATTGGGGCCGTTTTGATTCTGAAGATTTGCAAAGCCCTCAAAACAACTAATTAGGATTTCTGGCCTTGAATAAATAGAATCATTTACCGGCATGGAGGAATTGGATAATCAAATAACCTTTCACCTGTTAATATTATATATATTATCACTTAGCATCAAATAATGCTATCTTGTAGCTCTTGCTGTCATTTTTAGAACTACAAATGCTGCCTCTATATATATATATATATATAAAGAGACACTTATTGGAGATGAAATGCATAGTAAATTGCATTGACATGGAGGAAGAGTTTTAGCGTTTTCAGTGCATTTTGCTTTTGATATTTGGCTAGCTACTTAGAAGATTTCATTTCTAGAAT